CCAATTCTAATGATGTCAGCCAAAGAGGCAGATCAGGGCGGATCCAGCACCAGCGTACCTGCGCAGCGCTGCAGAAAAGGTAAGGTTTAATAATTTCTAAGGAGGGTAAGGGGGAACAAGCAACCTAAATGGTGGTTTTAACACTATAGGGTCAGGAATACAGGTTTGTGTTCCTGACTCTATAGTGTTCCTTTAAGTGTTATTACATTTTAGTACCTTTAACAGCAATGAAGGGTAGTGTAATCACTTTGATTCATAAATCACCAAAAACATTAATTTGTGCGCTGTTTACTGAGATAAATTGTGATGCAGAGGCATATACATCCCTATAGTCAATAACAGGTGTTAGCACTTGTTGCATCAGCTCCTTTGCAGAGTCATTTTTGAGCAGAGTTTCAATTATAGAATACAATGTGTTATCTACATTTAAAAGTAAGGGTCTAATTAAATTCCTGAACATTTATATGAGCTACCTGAAGGCAAGTTAGAAATCTAAGATAAAGAAGTAAGAGTTAAGTCAGAAGAAAATCACAAGGAAAGAACAAACCCGAACATACAGAGGTGCCTGAGCAGATAATGCTAAACCTGTTAAAAGATAGAGAAGCAGACTCATTCGGCCCTATAAAATAAATTTGCAGTGATATGGATAATTCAGCCAATAGGAATCATTGTTCGTCTGACATTCATTGGATTGAGATATAAGGTGATGTTGCAGTCATTTGGCACTTCAGGAGAATTCACATAAGTAGTGTGGAGACCTATGGTTAGAATAAATAGTTGGGACATAGCAAGAGTAGAGAACTGCACAAGATAAAAGTCAACATGTATCATCCAAAGAATAAAATATATATTTAAATTTTTTTCACATACATATCAATTTTTTATGGGAAATTTCACAGGATTTGTGTGCCTTACTACTTAAAACAGAAGATTAATATTAAAAATCCTTAGCTAACCTAGTTTACAATAACTCTAGCTGACCCTAATTGTAACTCTGCCTAACCCTAGCTAATCCTAACCATAGCTAATTCTAACTTCCTCTAGGTAACACAAAATAATCAGGGATGTTGAATGTTTCAGCTCTGTCGCAGGCAAATGGCAGGGCTGCTGCAGTGGAATAACTGGAGCTGACTAGGGGCCACTGTATACCACCAAGCATTGGAAGGTGCGAGGAGCAGCAGTCAATTCTTGTGATGCACATAGTTTATTGCCGCTGGGATACAGCATAACATCATATCTGCTGGTAATGTGAAAGATTGAATGGGACTGTACAGCATGTGGGTCAGATGTAGTTTGTGTGTAAATGGGTCAGTGTGTTTAGTTTGTCTGTGTGTGAGTATGGAATATTTGTGTGGGTACGTGTTTCAGTATGTTAGTGACTGTGCGTCACAGTGTATGTATCAAAAATTGTGTGTGGGGGTCAGTGAAGACAAAGGTATTATAAGCATTGTCTATATATGCATAAAATAGTCAAATTGTATATAATAAAAACCTGAATAACATTACTTTAAAAATACAGCCAGCATACACACATATATAAAACATCACATACAGTCAGCACACACCACATACACATTACATACAGCCAGCAGTCCGTTGGACTATACTTTTTTTTTATTTCTCACCCCTGCTAACCCCTGCTAACCCTACCACTAGCTAATACTAACCATACTCTTACACTTTGTTTTGGTTGGTTAACTGTACGTTTTGGCATGTATTCTCTTTGATTGTCTCCTAGGGCAGTTATAGATTCTGGGAGCTAATAAAGCTTTATTGCTGATCAGTATCCTGCTACTCTCAAGCTGCAGTGTGTACCAGGTTTAGAAGCTGCCTCTAGTCCTGCAACATAGCAACATTTAAGGCAAACTTTACTTCCTTTATCACGTTAACAATGGGTGAACCGTGTCTAAAGTCCCTACTTTGTCTTATAAGAAAACTATAGAAAAGGTGCTCTCTATATACTATAGTGAAGGCAGAAGTAAATCTTAGAAGGATTCCTCGACCTTGTGGAAATACAGATATAAAACCAATAATAAATAAACAGCACCTAAAATAGATAACTCTTAAGTGTGTGGTTACACAATAGAAGCATATACATACATGTATCAGTGGAATAATTCTGTAATATATCATTAGGTATCTTAAAAGGAAGATGAAACAAACACAATAATAGTGCAATATGTTTTCAATGGTAAATACAATATAATAGTGCAGCAAAAGGCACACTCACACTTTTTAGAGCTTTTTTGAGCTTTGCTGTTTTCAGACTGGACGGTATAATCCCCATCTCAGGATATGTAATCAGTAGCGGTTATGGTGTTTCTCCAAAAAGCAAGGTGCTATGTGGAGAAAAAAAAGAAGATATCAAATGGTGCAGTATGAAACAGTAGTAATATAAAAAATAGAGAGCAGGTATCTTACTTACGTGATACAGAGCATGGATCTGCTCTGGTATGGTGGAGCTTTGGTCGTACAGTCCTCACCTGGGATGGGCTAGACCACGAAGCCAGTAAGTAAAACCAAGATAAATTCAAAATAAATTACATTTAAAAGGATTAACTTTATTGCAGCATAAAACAATAAACAAACAAAACAATAATATATAACAAAAGTTTAAATAGTAGTAAAAACACTACTTTGTCTTATGTGTCAAAGAGAAATAGATAATAAATAAAATCATTTCAAATATGTTTGATAATATTTTTATAAATGAAATGGTTAGTCCTCTTTAATATGCTTTGTATGTGAAGATGCTACATCGCTGTTTGTTTGTAGGTAAAAGGACTGCTGTAGGAAATAAGCAATATTGCACCGTCTGCTACTTGGCAATTGGCCCAGGCAAGTGTTGAAACAAATTTATGACATTTATATAGGCTGACACTTTGCTTTGCTAAGTATATCTTTATATATCACAATATCAAACTTGGCAGATTCCCAAGACAATATCTTCTAGCTCCTATAGCCAAGTTTCCTAAAGAGAACACTCCATTAAAATGTTTTGTCAGGTGAATTACATACATCATCTACCCTTAAAAAAATAGCCAATATACATTTG